GACGCGCAGCGCAGAGGGAAGTCGGCGAAACGGTGGAACAGCGGAACGGTGGAACGCGGACGACTCTCGACTTTCCACCATTCCAGTTATTACCGCTACCTCCCGTCGTTCGCGTTCCTACTTTCACCGTTTTCGCGGAAATCCTCGGTCTCGAGGAACGCGGCCGAACCGCGGCTATTTCGTCGCGTCTGCGTTTACGCTTAGGAAGCTCGGCGTTCTCTGCTAGGGCCGCGAGAACTCTCGGCCTGGTGAGGAGGGAAGAGAAGAGAAGAGGAAGGGGCGGAACGAAGGGATTCCGAAACGAATGGCGCACAGCGGTGGTGGACGTTACGCGATCTCGGTTGCATCCCGGAGTACCGGACACGAATCGTTACGTCGAACCTCTTTCGTCGTTCCAGCGGTGCTCGGAAAGATCGCTGCGAGCCGATAACGAAGCGGTTGCCCTGCCAGCGGAACGCCTATGAATAAGTCGTTTTCCTTGCGTAACGCATCCTCGGACACGCCGCGATTCTCCTCTTCCGTTTTCCTCTTTCCGTTTCCCTCGTCGCTTCTGCCGCTTCTGCTATTCCCGCTACCGCGTCACCCACGCCTGTCTCGAACGAACACGGAATTTTACGGCGAAAAAGAAAAGCTAGACGACGGAACGTACGAGCGGGCTTTCTTGTCTATCGACACCGGAACGATCGCGTTGCCACGATCCGTGGGAAAATCGAAAGAAGCTCTCTTCGAGGCTCTCGTCGACTCCGTACTCGACTCGGTCGTCCGCAAGACGAAGGTAGGTTTCGTTGCCTAAACTTGGTGGGAAATTCATTTAACGTGGCGTCGAATATATAGCTTTCGAGATCTCGTACGCCTCTGCTCCGAACGGATTTCGAGAGACTTTAACTCGATGGAAGTATAAAGAAATTCTCGTTCGAAACGGAAATCGTATCGCGCGTCGATTAAACGGCGGAGAGGAGGAGCGGGAGGGGGAGGGGTAGGGGGTTAGATAGGTTAGACGACTGTGAAAGAACCGGCAAAGGAGAAAAAGAGAGAGAGCGAGCGAGGGCCAGTGAGTGCTCGCAGAGGGGTGTAGGGGAGGACTTCCGGAGCTCAGGGCCGTAGCTTGCCCTCAGCGTTTATTCTCGACTCCCTTTCTCCGGGCAGCACAAAGGATTCCACCGATCGTCGTCGTCTCGAGAAGCGAGAACGTTATTCTCGCCGCAACGGATCTCTAAATACTCGTCGTCGGACGACCGTTAACGACCGTCAATGACCACGGATCGAAAGGAGTCGACCTTCTTCGCCGACAGAGAGAAGGAGAGAGAGAGAGAAAGAGAGAAAAGAAAAACGGAAAGATCCACCTTGGAGAATCGATATTCGCGTGCCTCCGCGTTTCCTCGTATCTAATTTCCTGCTACGCGCGAGGCGACCGCTCGTGTTTCGACGCGACGAGCGTGCGAGCGTGGTTGGCAAGGTGAACCGTGCTTTTTCGCACGGTGCTCCAGTCCGCGAGTATAATTTTCAACCGAGTCGAGTTTGGTCGGTCTTCTCCCTCGGCCTCGTTCGTTTCTTGTACAATCTCTTTTCCAGATTCGGGGTTGCACGCGCGTCTCCGTCACGCGCGTCAAACGCGTGTCAAACGCGCGTACACGTATACGCGTAGCCGTGGAGCAAGGGAGACGCGACACGGAGGACGGTCGTAAATTATAGCCGATGAGAAACGCACGCGTCTGTTACCGGCGGTCGGTGTAGCGTTACTCGTAATTAGAGGTGGAGGAGCATCGAAGTAGGAGAAGTCGGTGTGTCGCAACGCGACCGATCGCAACCGCTTGCCTCGCTCCTTCTGCGTTCCCTCGTCCTCCTTTCCCACCGTTTGCTCGCGTTGCTCGCTTTTTTCCCATCTTTCCCATCTTTCCACGCGAAAACTTTCCACCCGCGCGTTGACCTTAACCCTCTTTCTCTACCTTCCCCGATATTTGCGACCATAGCGGTGGCGGTCGTATTCCGATACTCCTCTTCCGTCCTTGGGCAGACGATTCGAGGGATAAGAGTAGCGGACCAGGTCGCAGAGAGACCCCGATGTTTCCTCTCGAATCCGCGATGAATCCTTTGCCTTTCTCTTTTCTTTCATTTTTCCTCCCCCTTTCCCCTTTCTCTCGTCAGGCGACACATCGGGCTGTTGAAGCTAGCACGCGGCGGTTCCACGGTTTCGACGAAACGGAAAAATCTGTATTTCTCAGCGGGAGCCTGGCGCAACGTCTCCGCTCTGCCTAGTTGGATGATGGCACGGCCGAAAAACGATCGCGTATACCGGAGCAAAAGGAGGGTAACGACCGACCGCGTGTCCGTATTCTCGGACAAGTTACACGCGCGGAGCGTGCGGGTTGGTCGCGTGGACGGCTGCCAAGTTCTCCTCGCGATTCGCGATTCTCTCGATTCCCTCGATCGCGTCGCGCAGCGGAGGGTCAACGTTCGACGAACGGTGGTGCCCGATGCTTCGCGGCGAATCCGGTCGATCGGTCGCGACGAAATCTCCGCCGACTACCCCTTTGCACGCGAAATCGCGGGTAGAAACGGCGGAGAGGGATCAGGAATAGGAGAGATCGGTGGAAGATCGTCGGGCCTGTGGAAAGTTTTTCCGTATATTTCCGAAAGCGAGCGATCGTCGCGTACGCTGGCGTATTTATAGATCGACCGTTAAAAACCGCATATCCGAGTCACGCCGATGGCCGGCGAACAGGGTCGTAGTACGGGACCGGTCTCTTAATCTTTTCTCTCTCCTTCTCTCTCCTTCTCTCTCCTGCCCTCTCTCGCTCTCTCGAAATAAACGCCCCGCGTACTCGCGAACACGCGTCGGTGCTCGTGGCGCTCGTGGCGCTCGTGGCGCTCGTGGCTTTCTCGGTGCTACCGGCGATTGTCCGTTTCGCGGAGAAAAGAAGCGCAGCGCGATGCCGCGAGCCGATGAAATCGACGACGAAACATCCGGCGATTATTCGCAATCGGGCCACCTATCCGGGGTCCTATCGAGGGGATAGACGCAAGGCCGAGCGAGAAACAAAAGAGGCGAGCGAATGGAAAGAGGAGAAGAAAAAAGACGAACTGGAAATCGAGATTGGCGCGTAGACGGAAAGCGCGGAGGGACGTATCGCGACATATGTCGGAACTTGTGTCAGCGGTAGCGGGAGCAGCAGAGGGAGAGGACGTCGAGCGGCCATATGTTCTCCCGTATGCGCACGGTTCGCTGGATGTCGATCGATGTACACGATCGACGACCGTTTTCAACGGGTTTGGTGGGTTAGCCCGCGACTCGAATTCGTACGAAGGATGACGCGCGATACGGACGGGACGGTATACGCTCGTAAAACGCGGCGGTGCTGCACGCACGCTCGTGGCCGTTTTACGTCGACTCCGGGGCTCGTCGGCTTACGAGATAAGCGAGATTCGAATAAAAAAAAGATATCGCGAGGTTTCCTCCTTTAAACTCTCCGCTTTCCGATAACGCAATCGCCGCCGCCGTCGCCTCCGCCGCCGCTTGTCCTAACCGAATTACCTTCTCCGTTCCGAGATAGCGTTTAGATTTACCTCTCTTGTCCGACGTAACTCTACGCGCGTTCTAGAAACCAAACACGCGAGTCGCGCTCTGCGTTACGGCACCCCGAGCCCCCCGAGTTTCCCGGTATGCTCGCCGCGATTACGAAATCCGCTCGGAAACGAATCGCTCCGCGTATGCCGAGTATCTTCGCTAACGATCCAGCTAACGATCCAGCTAACGATCCAGTCGATAGTTCAGACACTTTCCGGTTTAGCGAATTTTTCCCGAGTATACGTAAATTCGGAGCGATTCGAGGTCTTCCGAATCCCATCGTCGACTACCCTCGCCGAGTCGAAGCGTATAACGCGCTCTTTGTCCCTTATCTCCTTCGCCTCGTTTCCTTCTTCTCGTTCCGCGTACGCCCGCGTACCAGCCCGGGCCACGATTAACCCCGAATATTCCAGTTTTTCCACTCGTCCGCGTTTACGTTTGCGTCGAATCGTAGCGAGAGCGAACGCTTTTCCAAAACGGCGACAAATGGAAGGCGAGGAAAGGAGGAGGAAGAGAGGAGTCGAATAAATTTCGTATCGCGCTCAAGATCGACTCGGACGTTATTTTTAGTCGATTAATTGCTCCAGCCGCGTTTCGTTCCTCTCTTTTTCCCCTCTTTTCGTCCGAGTACGAGGAAAAAGGAAGTCGTTGACCCGATACGTCAGCCTTGCGTAACGAAGACTTTACACACGTGACCCGTACGCTAATCGTCGTATCTACGCATGCCGAACGCAACGAGAGAAAGAAGAAAAAAAGAGCGATAAACGCGCGACGCGCACCGCGGCCAAAATTATTCCGAATCTCAACGTTCCCGTAGCCGCAGGGATCGTCCGTTCCCGCTTCGCGGGCGATCCAGAACCTAGTCCTGGCTCCTCCACTCGTCGCTCCGCCGCGTTGTTCCGCGTCTCCGACGTTGGCCTCCTGCGTCGTTGGACTGGGAGAATTAGGCGAAGAAAAGATCACGCGTCCTCGTAGAATCGTGGAATCCGTCCGCGCTGCGCTTCGTCCAACGCCCAGAAATCGATCGTCTCCCGCGTAGACGTCGCCTTTCTTGGATCGCGTGGACGTTGGTAATGGGGGACAACGAGATCGAGAGACGGTGCAAAGGTAAAGAAGAGAAGGGGACAAATGCTAGCGCGCAAAGCGTGTGCGCGCAGCACCCTTGGTCGAAACACGTTCGTGCAGGTCGGTACGCGTAGACGCAAACTTATTCGTTAACCGCGGATGTTCTCTTGTTCGTGAATCAGTAGAGGGACGGACTCGGTGCGAGACGGTTACTGGTGCCGATATCGATGCCGATCAAGATCGTGGACGGTTTGGTGCACGCGATGACGCGCTTCGCGCTGTCTCCGAGAAGCGACAGCGAGACTGACGAGCGCTTGGCGCGAAGAAACGAGAGGCGGCGGAGGAGGAAGAGAAGGTTCGCGAAGGTAGGATGCGGGTGATGGGAGTATTGGAAGAACGCGGACAGGTAGAGAACGGTCCTGCGAGGAATGCTCGGGAAGTCGGGTAAAGGAAGGCGAGCGAATAGGACGCGTAAGCGGGGGCGGCTGAATGCGAGGACACGCGTGGCGCGTGGAAAAGAGATAACGCGAAGTTTCGGAGCGTTGGGTGGACGACTGCGCGTCGGCAGCGGCGATTAGTCGGGAGTGGAGGAGCGTGAGTAAGAGACGCGATCGGTGTCCGCGCCATCGGATGACTCACGAGCCATGGAAAAGAAACTGCTCGTCCGCTTTCGACCAGCTCCCGCATTCCTCCTCGATTGTCCCAATTCGAAAGAGCGCATTCCTGAAAGCTTACCAGCGCGCATCGCTCTGGAACGCAGCGACGCCGACGTCCAGCGATCCTCTGATCCCCGCTCTGACCCCCGCGCTCTGATCGCGCCGCTCCGGTCCCCGCGGTCGTTCTTCTCGAACGGACCAACGATCGTGGCTGACGTGGGTTCCACGGTGCGTGTACCGCGTGGAACGAGAGGACCGTTTTCTGGATCCCGCGCGCGGATTCTACCACACGTGGTCGCCATGCGCGTACGCTAGCCCGCGAGAGAGCTTCCCCTACCGAGAAGCTCTGTGCCGATTAACCGAGAAAAAAGAGCGATAACTCGGTTGGAGGCGTCGCGCATCGCCGCGGCAGACCTCTTGGACGCGTCTTCTGTCAAAGGAAACGGCGCGACGCTTCCCTTCCGTTTTCTTCGACGCTCCTTCCCGACGCACGTCCAGCGACAAAGACGAGAACCGAAGAGAGAAGAAGACCGGTCGCGAGTGCGTTGTCCCGAATCCCTTTTTCCTCTCCTCCTCCCTCTTCCTCCCGCCTCTTCCGTTCTACGCAGCACCCTTGCCATCGTTCCAGTCCAACGACTGGAAATGCCCGTTTACGAACCGCGAGAAAATTTCACTCGCGCCGCGCGTCGTCGATCACGCTCGCCACGCTCGTCTTTCGATACACCCACGCGAATCGCCGTGCTCGATCTGTCGGTCGAAATCAAAGGGGGAGAGAGAGCGACGTGGACCGAGGAATTTAGGAAAAGTTGAAAGAATGGAGCACAACGATGGGGACATGCCGTTAACTCGCGCGAGTCGCGCGCGCAACGACTTTCTTTCGACGAATTCGGTCAATGAATTCGCACGATTAAAAAGAATCTAATTACTGCTCGGTTGCGTACGAGGTAGCGCATAATACGGTTGCATCGTGGCTGCGATCAACGGGCGGAAACCGGTAGAAAAACCAGTATTTTACCACGGTAATGGTGCTCGATGTTATTACGATCTCTCGCGGCGAGCTCGTTTACGATCCTAGAAAGGGGCGAAATAATATTCTATCTAGCGCGGCTTTATACGGTTGCGCGTTTACGCTCCAGGGATTCGCGAATAATGCGCGATTCCCTTCCATAACACGGTCCGTGACGGAAAACTCGCTTAACACCGAACACCGAGCAGCGATTGTTGCGAGCAGGGAAAGAAAAAGGAGGAAAAAACCGATTGTTCCCCGTTCCCAGAGAGTATCGAGACCGTTGCCATTATCGCGAAGCGCGCGCTTAAATACTACGAGACCGGCGCAATCGGGGTCGGATGGAAACGCGTGGAAAAGCGCGTTCCGTTGCAGGCGGTCGCGACCATTCCTCCTGGCGTGTCGCTCGCGCGCTACTCGCGCGTCACTCGCTCGCGACGCAACGGCTTCGCGATACGCTCGTAGACCGCGCGAAGAATGCCAAGGCATTTACATAACTAGTTGGGATGATCGGCGTTCGTTTGGCGCAACGCTTGTTCCAGTCTCTACGCGTGTACCTACGCACGTACGCGCACGCATCCTCGTTTTCGCGACTCGGCCGAGTTATCGCGGCGCGTATCGCGTAACGCACCGCCGTTCCCTATCGCGGCCGGGCCGATACGATTTCCACGTTATCGCGAGAACGATAAACTCGTCGACGAAGAATTCGAGATTTATCGGCGAGCGACAATGGTCGCTGCTCCGATATAATAATAACGCTCGTCCGAGTATCGTATCCTTGGTAGGCCGAGCTCGCGTTTTACTTTCTTCGTCCGGTTCGGAATACCTCGGTGAGAATAGATTCGACGATACACGCGACGAACGATGCCTCTGCGGTTACACGCGTCTCGAACATTCCCACAACGCGAGACGCGCGCAAAAGTCGTCGTACAGGTTCGGTGCCCGTGATTATTTCCCTCTCGTCTTTGACGACGCGATCATCGCCGATCCATCTGTATACGCTCCGAGAGAACTCGATACTCTCTCTCTCTCTCTCTCTCTCTCTCTTTCTCTGGAACGGAGTAAGAGTGCAAACGAGGCCATCCGCGCGCCGTCCTTTTAATCGATCGCCGCGATACGAAGAACGAGAAAGCGCCACAGGTGACTCGAATCGCCGTTCCACGGTTTCTCACCGATGACCTGTCCTAACCCCGTGCAGTAGTACGAGCGCGTCCGTTTCCGATTCTCGTCGGAAAACGCATGCGTATACGCGTACGCGGAACGGCGCGTGGTTGGCGCGGCACCGGCCGGACGAGCCGTATAGAATTCTGAGAACTTTCGCACGGTGTAATCTCGTTTGGAAAGGAAAAGAAAAAGGAAAAGAGGAAAAGAAAATCGATGGAACGTAGGCGCATGCTCGCTCGCGCGGCCGCGAGACGCAAGGACGAGACGAAGCGAAAGCGACGAACCGAGACGCGAAGCGCGCGGAATGCGACGTTCCGCGAGACGACTCCTGACCGTGATCGTTCGTGCCAAATACCTTCCAACCACCTCGCTCGTCGTTGTCGTCGTCCGGCATCTCGCGGATACCTAGCCCTCGCGAACGCGCCGTCTCCACCTCCGCTCGCGACGTCGTCGCGTCGCTCGAATTCGCCGACAAATGCCGCTCGTAGCGTTCGAGATCCGCGTAGAAGGACGTCCGTGAAATAAACGCGCGTGCGCGCCATCGATTAATCCCGGCTTCGATCGTTGGCCGCGTACGAGCCACGAGATACCGGTTCTCTCTTAACAATGGAAAATCGCCCATTCACTCGACACATTTGGAGAGCCGAGCAACGGTACGTCGGACTGGTAATGGCTGATTCACCGATCGCCACGGTTCTCTCTTCCTTTCCATGCGCTCCCTTCCGAATACTGCAACCACCGGGCAGTCGAGCGTCCAACGACTTTCGCGATTTCGCTCCACGCGATTCACGATAAACGCTTGATCGAACACGCTTGTTGACAGAATGAAGAGATGATCGCAAGCCTACCGATACACAGCGGCGGTGGAGGCGGTGGTGGTGGCGGCGGTGGTGGTGGTGGCGGCGGCGGCGGCGGCGGTGGTGGTGGTAGCGACGGAGGTGGCGGAGGTAGCAGCAACGGAGGTCCGAACAACCGCGTGGGTCGTGGATTGGCCCTTCACAGGTCCAATTCGAGCTTGGAGCTTCCTCACAGTCCGGACCCTGCCACTCGAGTGCCAGAAACTCCTCTGAGAAGGGAGTATGGATCTCACGGTAGGTCGCGCGCGCGTTACGCCAACCGAAAGCGAACGTTTCTTCCGCGTAAATTTTCACGCGAATCTCGTTAGAAAAAGAAAGAGAGGGGAAAAAAGGAAGGCGCGTGTTCGTGACGTGTTTGATTTGAATCGCAGGAAGCATCGACGTAGTGGCTCAATCGGTCACGATCGGGGAGAATTTGTTCGCGATGCTTCAAGACCTGAGGCCATCTGCGTCGGCGTCCGTCTCTATACCGACCTCGACCTCGACCTCCTCGTCGACGTCCGTGTCCGACCAACGAGGTTCGATCGGCGTGGAATTCCTTAGACGAGTTCCCACGGACGGGCAAACGATCGACGCTGACGAGGTTTGCGGCCCGACCGGTAACTCCAGTCCGAAATTACGATTGAAGCTTCATAGACTGTGGGGCGCGAAAGCCGCGCCACGGCCGATGGAGGAGAGCTGCAGTAGCCCGGTCGTTTCGGCCGACGTCGAGGAAAGGCACAGAAGGCGAGCATTCGCCCATTACGACTGTCAATCGCTCACAGCGAATCTCGGATACGCGGCGAAACTCAGGGGTATTCTACTCGCGAGGAGAAGAAACACCGCGACCGGTGCCTCGGCCGCGAGTTCCTTCAGAGCCTCCACCCCGGACGAGACGCCAGAAGAGGACGCCGGTGATGGAAGAGGTAGGAGAGAGAAAGTGGCAGCAGAGTCGGATCGAATCGTGGAGATATAATCGATCCGTGTCGCGTGTTCGCGTAGGTAACGACCTGCTGGAATCGTGTCCCTTCTTCCGGAACGAGATCGGCGGCGAGGGAGAGCGGGAAGTGGGCCTCACTCGGTGTTCTCTGGGTAACGGGGTTCACCGACCATCCTTATCGTACGGCGTCGCTGTTCTGGAACCGGTGCCTGGCGAAACATCCTGGAAACACACTTGCCCTCTGCAGAAACGACCACTGCCCGTCGAGAGCGTCGACGAGGGCGCTCATTATTACAGACGGTACTTTCTCGGTAAGCGTCGAACGCCACGCGCGAACCGTCCTTGCTTTCCGTTTTCTTCTTCCAATCTAACAACGGACCAGCTCCACGACCAACCACCATTTCCAGGTCGCGAGCATCAAAATTGGTTCGGCATGGACGAACAGCTGGGCCCGGTAGCTATTAGCATACGAAAGGACGTCAGTCAGTATAGGATAATAGTTCGTACCTCGGAGTTGTTGACGCTTCGCGGTTCGGTCCCGGACGAGGCTCTCGGTGGCATAAGGCCACAGGGTAGGTTACCCACCAGAGAACTCTTGGAATTGGTCGCACCGGAAGTTCAACTCGGTTGCCTCCGTTCGGGAACTCCTGCCGCCGAGGAAGCTCTGGCTAGATTGGACGAGCAGGGACTTTCCAACAAGTACAAGGTCGGCGTACTTTATTGTAGATCCGGCCAAAGGACCGAAGAAGAAATGTACAACAATCAACACGCCGGACCGGCTTTCCTCGAGTTCCTCGACGCTATCGGTAAGCCCGCCCCCCCCCCTCTCTCTCTCTCTCTCTCCCCCCCTCT